TAATGTAACTGGAAATTTTAGGCCGAGCCCTCAATTTTTTTTTGAATAGTGAAATAACAAAATAAAGCTACTGGAAGGTTTATGTGGTGGCAGAGAGGTTGTGCCTATTAATTTCATGATGGGAGGAATTGTGTGCTCCCATTGAATAGTCTAGATTGAAAAATGATTAAATAAATAGCATTACAATGGAATTAAACTTGATCTTCTAAAGGTGTGTTATCGAACTCTTGTCTATATATTCCGGCCATTCTTGAGTTTTAGTTCAAAATTTACATGTTAGGGCAAATAGAAATGGCTAATAAAATTTAGGATTTTTTGATTAAAATGACGAAAGATAGAAATGGTGGAACGATGATTAAGAATTGGGGGAAGATGAATAGATAAATAGAGAATTACAAATTTGTCCATCTTCCAGGTTTTCAGCAAGCTGTAGGTAATTTTTCTAAGCAAAAAGTGATTTAGGATCCAAAGTGCCAAACAATTTATGTATGAAGGGTGCAGTCTGCCAATTTTGTAATTTAAGAGTGCAAAGTGCCAAAAGAGTGTAATTCAAGGGTGCAAAGTGCCAAAAACCCTAAAGAGAAAATAATTTTGCCGATCCAAAATGATTTTGGAAGTGAAGCCGAAAATCAAGCCAAACAAATGCAGAATGTCAATTCTAGCGGACTGTGGCAGTGTTTGATATTTTAAGAATATTTTTTTCTTACAAAATTCGACTGAGAATATTCAAGTGGTGTGGGAAAGCCAGCTCCAAGAACTACATCTTTGGTAAATACATTTTGTCAAATTCGAGCTGGAACATGATCAAAATAGAGTTTGAAGTTAACATAGTGGCCATATCACGATTTAGACAGTCATAAAAATGATACTAACCATTTGTCATACAAGATAGTATTAAACTGTTTGTTGTGACTGGTGTGTTCATAATATTAGATGGGCACAATCCCACATTTTTAGTTTCATTTACGCAACCATGGATCGAGTGGAACTCCTTCATGGTCTCATTATTTGATTTATCTATCAAGTAAGACCCATATTAGAATGAAATATTAATAACATGATTAGTAAAATGAATACTTGTTAATATGCATCATAAAGAAACAATTTTCACGAATTTATTTGTAAACAACACCATATTTGTTACCTTTCGCCCGTGTTAATGTTCTCTTGTGAAAAAAATATGAGTTTTCAATAATAAAGACAAAAAATTAAAAAAACTCACCATGTAGATAAGACATGTTGAACCATTATCGAATATAAAAAGACTAATCCATTCAAAAAGCAAAATTCTGCAATGTAATGTCTTAGATGCAATAATAAAGACAAACAACTAAAAACTCAACATGTAGATACTACATGTTAACAAATTATCAAATACTTTAAGTCTAATATAAAAAAAAATCATCAACATGTAGATACTACATGTTAACAAATTATCAAATACTTTAAGTCTAATATAAAAAAAATCAGGAACGTAATGTGTTCGGATTGTGATTACTGCATATTCTTTGTAACCCTTTACCATAATTTTTTCTGCACGAAGGTACTGAAACATATACTTTTTGTCGGCTACAATTTTACTGTCCTTGCAGAAAGTTATCCACCCTGTGTGGAGATCGAACCGAGCATAATTAGTAGTGATTTGTTTAAGCAGTCCTGTTTTCTTCATGGATTCGCCATCATACGTCACCATAAGTGAATCTTTATTTTGCTTTCCCATAAATCGGAATACAAAAACAATGTAAAAAATGTAAAACATACACATTATTCCCCAAAAACGAAGAAGGCAATTTGATGCGTTTTTCGATATCAGAATTTTTCATGTCTCCTTGTAGTACCATATCTTGCATTCCGTCATAAATTTCGACAGATAAATCTTTCCTCAAACGACCTGATTCGAACATCTAATAAAAAATAAAAATCACAATTAATTATCAAAGATAAAAGAAATTGGTAAATATTAAACGGAAAACCATACAAAAATCAAAAATTAGTTTTAGGGTATAAACAATAATATATAAAAAAAACAAAAAATTAACATGGATCATGATTAGGATGCCTACGTGGATGATGACATGGATGCCAAATGTCGCAATTCTAGATCATGAGAGTTTCAATTTATATATTATATAGATTAATAACATACTTGTTTCACATTTTCAAAAATCATTTTCAAGATCGACATTTATGAATTAATTCTTCTATGGGAATATTTATGCATATATCATTAGGGGCGTATGTGAGATTGCCAATTTGCTGAGTTAGAAAAGAAGCGGAAGATGTTTGAGTGCCTCTATTATATGTGCGGGCTTGGCCGACGAGATGAAAAGCCCAAAGCCCGTTAACAGGCGGGCCCCCAATTTTATTTGATTTTGGTGCAAATCTAAGTTTCCTTTTGTAGGTTTCCGATTCCTGCCAAATTGAAATCCAAAGCCCTTGGTGCAATTTTGGGGAAGACGAGATGAGAGGGATGATGAGACTGATTTTACTACGTCGTTTAGCTGCTCGATCGTCTTCCATCACCGATAACAACACCATACTCTCCTCCTCCTCCGCCGCCGCCGCCGCCGCCGCCGCCGTCGCCGTGGAGAGGACCTCTACACATTGCTTTTCCGCTAATGGTTTTCACCCTGCTCTCCTCAATCATTCACGGAACTTCTTCTCTCCACCGTCCTCAGGTCTCTTTTTCTCTCTTTCCCTAATCGTGAAAATATCCCGATTTTCTTTCGTTTTTCTTCTTTCTAGATTTTTGGCTTCTGACTTGTGTGAAATTTAGGTCGAATATTGATTTTTGAAAGTTAATTAGCAGTTGTATGCATTTCTATTGAAAACTAAGATTTTCAATTTGTGGTTGAAATGATTCTATGCTGCCGAGTCCATATGTGAATCGAGAAGGTTGCTTTACTTTGATATTCATGAAAAGAATCAAGACTATAGTTATTTAGTTTTCATGCTCACTATTGATTTTGTAACTTTGGGCTTACAGATTCGTCAAATGTGCAAGGTCCATGGTATACTTGCTATAAAGATGCCTCTTTTTTACATTTTCTGCATCACTAACTTTTTTTTACATGGCTACTATGTTAAGTTGTTTTAGCATGGTTCTCACCGCTTATAATATTTCATATTTGGTGGTGTAGATGAATCTTTCACACCTTTTTCCGTTAAGTCAATCAGACACTTTGGTCAAGCGGCAAAGTCGGAGGATGAAGATGAAGAAGTAGAGATTGACCAAAGAAGGCTCCCAGCTGATTATGATCCCGCAAACTTTGACCCTACGGAGCATCGTAGTCCCCCAACCGATAGGGTATGGAGTCTCGTCGATGAAATATCTGGACTCACGCTCGTTGAAACTGCTGAGCTTTCTACTATAATGATGAGGAAATTAGGTATGAAGGAGATGCCTGTTGTTGGTGTAATGAAGCCAGGTGCTGCTGGAGTGGCCATGAATACTGGAGCAGCTGCAGCTAAGGAAGAAAAGAAGCCCGAAAAGACGGCCTTTGAGCTCAAGATAGAGTCTTATGATGCAGCTTCAAAGCTCAAGGTCATTAAAGAGATACGGAGTTTTACAGATTTGGGATTAAAGGAAGCTAAGGATTTGGTGGAGAAAACTCCTTCTGTTCTTAAGAAGGGAGTTTCTAAGGAAGAAGCCGAGAAAATTATTGAGAAGATGAAAGCTGTAGGGGCAGTAGTGGTTATGGACTGATTTCTTGCACTTTACGTTAGTCCCTCTCTCTCTCCCTCTTTTTTTTTTTTTTGACACTGTTTTATGAAAACGGTCCAGAATCACTGGTTCATTTACAATCTTGATGTGGCGATGATGTATGTTCGACATCCTAAAAATTGTTCCAGAAGAGGAATTTGGTTCTGGATTTTGTTCTCTTGGTTTTGAGTGTTGGAACTAAAATGAAGATGTTATGTTTACAAGTTCCTTAACCATGTAATGTAGTTCTGTTGCTATATCTACTGCCTTGATTGATAATTACAATTCATTCTTAGTCAACATGCACACTTTTTTTTATACTGTTCTTCTGGATATGAGAGTTTGTTGCTAAAGTTGTATCTCAATTCGGAACTGGGGGAAATCCAGTGCAGGGTACATCAGTTTTGCCTAACAATGTTTTGATCTGGGAATGAGGAATACTGATTGGTAATTTGTCGTAATTTGGGAAAGAAGCCCTCTTGCAATCCCGCATATGATGTTGAATCGCATTTGCCAATCGAGCATCGAACTCTTATACAAACCAAATTCCAGCTGTATTGCAATTAATATTGCAAATTAGGTAACTTACTGAACAAAATAGAATCGAGGCTTTTGTTTTCCATGTACCAGCATCTTCTCCTCCATATCAATACATTCCCGGAGTAAACATATATACTAGGGCCTCGTTTACTTCAATATATTAGCCTATATATATTATTTTAGTACAGCCCAGTGACATGTTTACTTTACATTATTCTAATACTAGAGGCCCAATATTGATGAGCAGCCCGGCAGTATTTGACCCTCATCCAAGGATCTCCCATACCAGCTAAGGGGTGGGATGTGTAATACTCCTCCTTGGTATTAATGTCCTTTTACTCTTATGCCCTCACTTTTCAGCAAAACCTAAAATTTTCACCTGCCAAAAAGGAAAGAAATGGGAGGGAAGTACAGAGAGGGAAACCAAATTTTTTTTTTTCAATAACATATCTACCAAAAGCAAAAAGACAGAGGAGCTAAAAAAATTATATTATCAGGGATTGAAAAGTAAAAAGAACAAGAAAACTGGATTTTGAGGCAAAAAATCGTCACCGTTCTTCAAATCAAGTAGGTATGATATAATTTTTTTTTCCGTAAATCGCTAGTTACACTTGTTGTAGAAAAATATGATTTTTTTCCAGAAATTTTATAGATCTTCTTTGCCCACCATATATTTTGTTTTGTTTGTGGATTTTATGATTTGTATGGGCAAATTGCTCAATTTAATATTGTAAATCTGCCGTGAATAAGTATTGTTGAAATATTTGAAATACTCAAAACCTGTCATATTTTTTATACAAAAAATTGTGAATAATTGACCAATGTGTCGTATTTAGGATGGATGTCTCGAGTTCCGAGGATGAGGTTCTACTTTGTTTGCAAGAAATTATTTTTGAGTGTGTCATATTCTTTACCATTTGTTTTGAATATATAAGTGAAGAAAAAACCCGTGAATCATCTCAATATGAGCGTATTAGATACAATAGAGTGTCAAGAGTTCCAGATCAAGTTAGAAAATTGAGTCGTATTATTGATATTAATGATATATCTTGTATCAATAACTTAAGAATGAGTAGAGATGCATTTGGCCGTTTGTGCCATATTCTAGAAAATACAGGAGACCTTCATTGTAATAGAAATATCAGCATTAGTGAACAAGTTGCTATGTTTCTTCATATTCTTGCTCATCATACGAAGAACCGTATTGTTGGTCATGAATATGAAAGGTCAGGTCGTACGGTTAGCAAATATTTCAACAATGTTTTGAATGCCGTCATTAAACTACACCCTCTATTTCTTGGCCGCCCGGAGCCCGTAGATGAGCATTGCACAAATGAAAGATGGAAACTATTTAAGGTAACGAATATTTGGTAGTTTGTGCTATGTAATCATACTAGGCATTATAACTAACAATTTTATGTTTCATTAATGGATTTTTATAGGGTTGTTTAGGTGCTCTAGATGGTACGTACATCAAGGTGAGGGTCTCGGTAACAGATAAAGGTCGCTATCGTAATAGGAAAGGAGATATTACCGTAAATATTTTAGGAGTGTGTGATTCAAACATGAAGTTTATTTACATCTTAAGTGGTTGGGAGGGAAGTGCTGCAGATAGTAGAGTTTTGCGAGATGCAATTACTAAAGAAAATGGTTTGCGTATTCCGAAGGGTAAGTTATTTGTTCGCTAATACCGGATAATTCTAAATTTTAAAAAAATATCTCTTCATAGACAATAAAAACTAATATATAGATGTTATATATATTACAGGTAGTTACTATTTGGTTGATAATGGATACACAAATGGAGAAGGATTCTTAAGCCCTTATAGATCCGTTAGATACCACTTGGATGAGTGGGGTGAAGGAAAGTCTAGACCCCGGAATAAAGAAGAATTTTTTAACATGAAGCATTCAAGAGCCCGTAATGTGATAGAGCGCTCATTTGGCTTATTAAAGTCACGGTGGGGAATATTGCGAACTTCATCTCATTATCCCATCAAAACTCATAATCGTATCATTATGGCTTGTGCATTACTTCACAATTATATTCGAACTGAAATGCCAATAGACCCTATTGAACATGAAGTTCCAGATCTCGAACAAGAACCCATTGACCCGATTGACTACATTGGCGTTGTTGAGTCTACTCCGCAGTGGAGTGGGTGGAGAGACAACCTAGCTACATCTATGTACAATCAATGGAGAAGGCGATAATAGATTGTAACAATTGTTTTATATAGTGAAGATGGTTGTGTCAAAAATATGTGCGATTGTATTTGTTGTATTAGACATTATTCAGACATTGTGTTTGTATTTGAAATTCTTCAAACAATTATTTTGTATTAGCAATCGTTTAGTTTGTCTTGCATATTTGTTGTAAATTTTAATTTTAATCAACATCAGACATATATTTTGTTCATGTTGTCATTACAGGGATCAATGGATACTCAAGGAAGTAGCAAGAGTGGGTGTAGTAGAGCTGGAAAAAAATCAGACAAAAGTCGTCGCATTTGGTCAATGCGTGAGGAAGAAGCATTGATAGCTGCTTTAAAGGATATCATTTCCGACGGGTGGAAATGCCCAACGGATTTCGTACCGGCTATTTGGGTATTTTAGAAAAATTTATGCTACAAACATTTCCTGGATCCGACCTACGTGCCGACCCACATATCAATTCAAAGATCCATGTTTGGAAAAGGACTCATGGAACTTTGCAAACTATGATGTCTCGTAGTGGATTTGGTTGGAATGACACATCTCAAATGATATCAGTAGAGGACGATGTTTGGGAAAAAATTGTAAAGGTAATTTCCATCTAAAATTTAATTAAAATTTAGGTTTGATATAACTGAAATTTAATTTGCTTATAATATGCAGACTGATCCTAATGCACGTACAATGAGGTTTAAATCTTTTCCATTTTACCCGGCGTGGACTGAAATTTTTGGAAAGGATAGAGCCACTGGGGAGCATGCGGAAGATTGTAACAATGCAGGTAATGATTATTTGCCGGTATTTGATGACGATGCGAATGGAAATGGATTTGACAACGCAAATGAAAATAATGGATCCGATAATGAATTTATGTCCGTCTGTCAAGAGCAAGGGAGTGCATCTGGAAAACAAAATCCATCAAAAAAAAGAAAGGTAGCAAACCCTGATAATGTTAAATTCGTAGATGCAGTTCAAATGTTTTGTTCACAAACTGATTCAAGGCTTGGGGAGATTGCAAAACGTATTGGGTTTGAGTTTGATGCTTCCGAGAAGCGAACAAAGGTATATGAAGCTTTGTGCAAGATTCCGGGTTTGGACCTT